CCTCAATTTCCTTGCTTTAACATTGGAAAATGTCTTGCAGGTTTGTTAGGATGAAATTGGTTAACATATGTAATATTCGGCCTTGGGCCTGATATCTGTGTGTGTCTCACATAAAATGTGTGTGTATGTGTCGGTCTCTCCTGCTTTTATGGTGTCCATGGGATTGGGGAGGAAACAATTTCAGGACAGAAGCTAGTTATCTTTTTCCAAGCTGAACTAGAAAGGACCCTGGTGGTCCATCTCCCATTAGGCACTGTCTCCTGAACCATCAAAGGTACAGCTACAGGGGATCCCATCAGAGAGGGAGAGTATTTTCGATAATCAAAATTTGACCTTTGTAAAATTTTTTTCTAAATATATTTTCTCATAAAATTTGCAACATTGTATGTTAAAAAAAATAAAATCATACATTCTGGATCAGGAAACCTTTAAAAAACATTTTATGAATCAAACACAGCTTCAGATTGTCAGGAGTTGAGTGTGGTTTATTTTGGCAACTGTATTTTTTCAAGGATGAAACAGATGGAGCATGTAGTTATTTTGTGAATTTAACTGAGGTTTTTACCACACTTGGGGAATTTGAGATTCCAAAGACTGAGAATTTTTGAAATTGATATTTGAAACAAATTAATAAATTCCCCATGGAATCTCATTTCTTGATATGCTGTCAAAGAAGCCATTTTAAGCACATTTGTTTTGAATAACACAATTATCAAATTTAAATAAGGAGTGCTAATTAACTTTTAGTTATTTTCCCCTTAACTTTCAGTTATGTCCAACCTCTCTCTCAACTGATTTGTCATGGTTTTTATTTTTTTTTAAGTTCTTCAGCTGTCATTGTTTTATGATAAAAATAGTTACAAATCAATATTAATGTAGATAAAAGTAAAATAATTTTTTTTTTAATTCTACCACAATGAAGAAAAATGGATTACTCTTCCTAAATGCAAATAAATCCAGTTAGAGCTCTAATACCCCAAACTGAATACCTTTTTTATGCATTATAATTCTTATTACACATATACAGCACAATTTTTCATATCTCTCTTTATATATAAAGTATGTTGACACCAATTCATGTCTTCATACATGTACTTTGGATAATGATGTCTATCACATCCCACCATCCTTGCTAACCCCATGCCCGGTCCCTTCCCCACCAGCCCCTCTGCCTTATCTAGAGTTGTCTATTCCTCCCATGCTCCCCCTCCCTACCTCATTATGAGTCAGCCTCCTTATGTCAAAGAAAAGCATTTAATATTATCCTTCCTTTCTTTTACTTTCTCTTAGAGAAGTGAGTGGCCTGCTAATAAAATACACTGTATATATCATTTAAGGCACTTGCTTGAGGAACAAGCACCAGGAACTGACTGTTGCTACAGTAAGTAAAGGGACTTCACAGGAAGGATTATGGTGGAGCTCACAGATTTTCCAGAGGACTGCACAACCCAGTCTCTGGTAGGAGAGGACCAGGGCAGAGCGCAAAGCATAATGGTAGGATCTTGTGGCCTTTCTAGGATATTCAACTCTAGAACCATCAGCCTCTGTGTGTCTTTATTCACATTTTGAGGTCCTGAGAGTCTCTGTCTAGGCAGTCTGTATTAGCGGGGTACTTTATGCAAGTGGCTCAGTAAATTTTGACTAGAGGATTAGGGGATGGGTGGCTGGGTACTGTAGTCTGTACTCAACAGTTCTTTGTACCTGATGAACCTTTTCAACTGTTCATCATGTCATCTACAATACAACACTTTATTTTTTACCCAAGAGTCTTATTTCCCATTTAATTTGAGGCCATAGGTTGTTATAAGTGTGTATGTGTGTTGCTAGGAGACATTTTGTTTTTTCTTATAAATTGATGTCAGATAAGAATTGAAACTCTCAGTGATGATCATGATCCTATGTTCTTTGGGTTAATTTTAGTAATATGACCCTAAACCTCAGTGTTATAAGGTACAAAGATAGCTTTGGAGTTCTTGGTGGTTTTGGGAAGCTTGCTTAACCTGTCTTAATCCTCATGTCTTCATTGGCAGAATGAACTTAATATATTTTACAAAGGAATATTGAGATTTTTTGTGATAATATGTATAAAAGGCTTTGTACCAGAAATGTATATATATTCCCAGTTCTTTATATATGATTTTAAATTATTACATGGTTTTAGTTAATGAGTTGCATTTATATGATGGAAAAAAATTGTTGAGGACCAGATGACATTAAGACCCAAAGTTCAACTGATCTTTTTAGTACCAGGCATTCCTAAATTTATTTTTCCATTATTTTTATTATTTTTGGTAGTTTTGGAGGTCAAACTCAGGATCTCACACAAGTGAGGCAAGCACTCTACTAAAAATCTAAAAAGTAATGATAGTAATGACTACTCACAAATAATCTGACTTCCCACGTGGCTAGTATTAAAAATGTGAAAGAAAACAGAATTGTGGATATCTTTCATTTTTCAACATTTTGTCTTGAAATTCTTCCTTAGATTTACTTGTATATAGTCATACATTTCTTGATGGCAAGAATGTTCTGAGAAATGCATCATCCGGTGATTTTGTCATTGTGTGAACATTATAGAATGTACTCACACAAACCGCTGGACAGAGTAGATGTGAGATAGTCTGCTGTCAGCATAACATGACACACTATCTCACAAAAGACTTTCTAAGTCAAAGGAGTATATTCTAAAATAATGTAAATAGCATAGTAAATACATAAGCCAGAAACATAGTTGCTTGTTACCTGTCATCAAGCATTACGTATTGTACACAATTGTATGTGATATGCTTTTATAGCATTGGCAGCACAGATGGTTTGTTTCCAACAGCATATCCACAAACACACAAGGAAAGTCTTGTACTCTGACATTATGATGGCCATGTTGTCCATAAATAATAGGAGTTCTTCACCTGTATTACAATCTGAGAAGCCCACTGGCATTCATGTAGCTAGCTCATGACCAAAACGTTACTGTGGAGTACAGGACTGTATGTGAGATTGGCTGTCTTGGAAATTAGCAAGGCCTCACACAGACTGATGGATCCTTAGTTTAAGGACTGATGGATTCCTTCTCTTACATTTTCTCAATCAATTCTTCTCCTCCCCACCCTCCAAACTGAGGCTAGTATTGCTTGAAAGCACATAATCAGTGCAGTGGCTTAGGAGCACAAGTTTTGTGCAGGGTGCGGTGATGCACACCTGTAAACCCAGTGGCCCAGGAGGCATAGGAGGATTGCGAGTTCAAAGCCAGCCTCAGCAACAGTGAGGCCCTAAGCAATTCAGTAAGACCCTGTCTCTAAATAAAATACAAAAAATAAAGCTGGGGATATGGCTCAGTGTTCAAGTGCTCCTGAGTTCAGTCCCTGCCACCCCCCGCCAAAAAAAAAAAAAAGAGCACAAGCTTTGAGGAGAGCAGTCCTGAGTTTATGCCTGTCCCATCTGCTGTGGGTTAGCTGTGGCCAGTAGTCGGACCTCTCTGTTACCAATATATGTAAGAAGGAAGAAAACAACACTGTCTCTCTAGTGAGGGTTTGTAAAGGATCAGAGCTAATTTTTTTTTTTTTTAACTTTCTTCATTGTACCTTCCCTAGGATTGAGTGGTTATTAATTGGTTCTGTTTGTACTTAGAATGCCTATTATTCAAAAGCAATTTAAAGTCCAGTGTATTTTAACAAAGAATAGACAAGGCTTAGTGGCCTTTTTAAAATTAATATCATGGCATAGTCAACATTGACTAGGATATGTTTATCTGACATGCTTTTCTTGGCTAAAAGAAAAAATGTTAGGTGAAAATCAGTTTATGCAGATATAGAGCAAAATAGTTAATCCTTAAAAGATATTTCTTAACTTGGAATGGAACCACCATTTGACCCAGCTACCCCACTTGTTGGTTTATACCCAAAGGACTTAAAATCAGCATACTACAGTAATACAGTCACATCAATGTTTATAGCAGCTCAATTCACAATAGCTAAGCTATGGAACAAACCTAGGTGCCCTTCAACAGATGAATGGATAAAGAAACTGTGGTATATATACACAATGGAGTGTTACTCAGCATTAAAAGAGAATAAAATTATGGCATTTGCAGGTAAATAGGTGGAATTGGAGAATATTATGCTAAGCAGAATAAGCCAATCCCAAAAAATCAAAGGCCAAATGTTTTCTCTGATGTGTGGATGCTGATCCATATGGGGGCAGGCAGGGGAAGAATGGAAGAAGTTTGGATTGGGTAGAGGGGAATAAGGGGAGTGGAAGGAGCATGGGGTTAGGAAAGGTGGTGGAATGAGATGGGCATCATTATTCTAGGCACATGTATGATTGCTTGGCAAAGACGTTGTGATGAATGCTTGCAAAGGCATTTTTAGAGTGGTACAAATTCTTTTTTAGCTGGACGCTATCATTAGGAAAGCCAGCAAACACATGGTCAAGATTGTTACTTGAGGAGTAAGACTACTTTAACTCTAATTTTCTTCATTTTATGTTAATTTTTTTCTGTACTTAATGCATAATTCTTTTTGATATTTTAGGGAATAATTTCTGTTTGATACTTTGTATATTAGGAACTAAAAAGCATCTTCTGCTTCCCAGAAAACACAACAAAATAAAGGAATTAGTCATGCACTTCTGTGTGTATTCAGATGTATTTTATCTAAGAATTTGGACTGCATTTGGAATTAGTATTAAATTTCTGTAACTTGATTCATTAGAATTAGTGAAACAGGGTAAAAGTATATTTATGTGTCAAAAGAAATGGGTTCTGCTTTCTTTTAATAGAGAAAATGGAGAAAATACTGTGCCTTATTAAAAATAAGTGTTTGAATCTATTTAGCTTTAGGAAGAAAAATGAATTTCTTGAATTTTTTTCTCTTTATCCTTTCATCAATATTTCTTTAACCAGTTTTGTACTATTATCTCAATGAGTCGAGGGACATTTTATAGTACAGTGACATGCACTGTAGGATCTAATAAGTTACAATTTCTGCCTTTTTCTCTTCCAGTGTCTGTATTTATGCTAAAAGTTCAGGTGAATGACATCATCAGTCGTCAATACCTGAGTCAAGCAGTTGTTGAAGTATTTGTAAACTACACGAAGACAAATTCCACAGTAACTAAAAACAATGGAGCAGTGTTGATAAAAGTTCCCTATAAATTAGGCCTCAGCTTAACCATTATTGCTTACAAAGATGGCTACGTGTTGACTGCTTTGCCTTGGAAGACTGGAAGAATGCCAAGTAAGCATTTAAATTGCTTTGCATTCACTAAATGTAAATGATATGTGATTTCTCTCTTGGGACTGCCTTGTTCTGGTAAGCTGAAAATGACTTTCTCTTAGAGAAGTCTACTGAAGTCGGTAAGAAGGGAGGCCAGTGAAGAAAACATAGTCTGTTTGGGCTGCTATAACAAAATATTGAAAATTGGTGGTTTGTAAATAGCACAGATTTATTTCTCATGTTCTTGAGGCTGGGAAGTCTAACAGCAGAGTTGGTGTCTGGTGAGGGTCTGGATGTAGATGGCACCTTTTCACTGTGCCCTCACTTGGTGGAAGGGGCCAAAAGGAGTTCCCTTTGGCCTATTTTTAAAGGGTACTAATTTCATTCATGAAAGCTCTCCCCTCTTGACCTAATTACCACACAAAAGGCCCCATTTCTTAATGCCATCACCTTGGGGTTAGATTTCAGTATAATTGGTGGGGGGGGGGGAGAATAAACATTCAAACCATAGCAATCATGAAGTCATTTTTCTTCTAAAGAAGCCTAAAGGAATTGTGAGCATGATCTCTGCTCTGTACACAGCTTGTCTGCAGGTGGTAATAGATTGATTGGCATTTTCAAAGGATTAGTAAAAAGCAGGGTGGGCCAGGCAGTGGGGATAGATGATGGAAGAACCTTTGGAAAAGATTAGACAAAAGAATTAGATTTGTATGTTAAATAGTAAGGCAGTTATTTTAGATTCTTGAGCACAGTGAGTTTAAATATAGAAACTGGATCTATGCAACAGTGTATAAGTAACAGTGTTAAACTTGTCTCAGATAGCCTGACTGAGAAACTGTGACAGCGCTCCTGGTGTACAGGGACAACAGCCTGGATTAGGAGAAGGAGTGAAAAGTATAGGGGAATACGAGAGACAAACTGAAGAAAGCATTGGCAGGGCTTAGGGTGACTAATTGGATATTGGGAAAGTTGTGCCACATAAGATACTGAAATGCAACCCTGACTGATTGGAAGGATGACCCATTATATTATCAGTCTCTTTTTATTATAGGGTTCTTGTTAGAATTTAGATAATTCATTTGGCTTCATATTGAAAACATTTGAATTCTTGAATTGATAATGATAAATAAAATGAAAAGTGAATTAATAAGATTTGCACAAGTAAAACTTGAATAAAGTCATAACCTGAAAAACATAATAAGAATGAGCTTAATGTGATTTGTGTTTTAAATATATGCTTTTTTTCCCAAAGAAAGAAATTAACCACACTATTTATAAACAGAAAAACAATAATGAAAGAAGAAACCAGGTAAAACGATCCAAAAGAACTAATGAAGATTAAAGTGGATTGATATACACAGGAAAATATAAAAAAGAGATAATTGACAAAATACTGATTCTTTGAAATTAAAAAGAAAACACAGTATCTGGCTAACCTAAACAGAAAACAGGCAATAAAAGACAAGGAAAAGAAGAGGAATACATAAAAACTTTAGAGTCATAAAATGTTCTACACCAAATTTGGCAGTAAGCTTAAAAAGTTCAATAAAATGAATAACTTTCTGATACACAAATGATTATACTGGTTTCTGATGAAGTAGGCCAATAATCATTACACAGAATATTCTAGGTAAAAATAACCTGATTCAAAGATTACTTTAAAAGTACTCCAAATTTTTCACAAAACTAATGTACTGTGATCCTAAGATCTAATAGTGGTGATATCAATAGATGCTCTTATGTGTGTGTTCTCTTTCTTCTATAGACCAATCTTACCTGTAACTCCAAAGGAAACATTCTTAAAACAGAATAGTAAGAAGTTTTTTATCATTGTTTAAGTGTAACATCCTATTAAAACTAAGTAGTTTTTTTTTCTTTTAGGATTGTGGGATGATAATTATATGTTAAACTCTATTAACTTTATGTATCATATTAATAGAACAGATTGCAACTACTGTCTTATAATATTAATATTTGGATCTATATGTAAATAAAGTCTTTAAAATCCCATAATAATGAAGGTATACTTAACATGGTAAGGATTTCACAAATATACCTAATTAAAATATTAGACGTGATCCTAAAATAAATAAATACAGATGTTCATACTATTTTACATTGTAGAGGTTCTTAGAGTAAAAAGCTGTTACTGGGGGGGGGGGGAAGGGATTAATTACTATTAGAGAAGATCAAACCATTTTTTATTTTTTGGTACCAGGCATTGAACTCGGGGGCATTCAACCACTGAGCCACATCCCAGCCTAATTTTATATTTTATTAGAGACAGGGTCTCACTGAGTTGCTTAGTGCCTCATTGTTGCTGAGGTTGGCTTTGAACTCATGATTCTGCTGTCTCAGCCTCCTGAGCTGCTGGAATTACAGGCATGTACACCAGCTCCCATTATTTTTTGATATGATCATATTCCTAGAAAATTACAGAGCATCAATCTTAAAATTCTTAAAATCAATGGAATTTCAAGATTTATTGATCACAAAATTAGCATTTGTACAAATTAGTATGTGTTCTTATATTTCAGCAATAGTAACCAGTTAGGAAAAATAATAAGAATCTCTCTCAGGACAGTAAGGTTATGCAGGGCAGCCTACCAAAAACACAAACAAAAAAACCCTTAAAACGGCTATTTGTGGTAGGAAACTAAAACTACCAAATATGACAGACATAAAAATACACACACACACACACACACACATATCAACCACTACCAAAAAACTGAGTAAGCCAAAATCCTGGATAACTGGAAAAATATATTTCTTTTTAGGAAGCCTGAATAGGTAATGATTTTACTACTACTCTTCTTTTTTTAAAAATACTTATTTTTTAGTTGTAGTTGGATACAATACTTTTATTTTGTTTATTTATTTTTATGTGGTGCTGAGGATCAAACCCAGGGCCTCACACATGCTAGGTGAGTGCTCTACTGCTGAACCATAATCCCAGATTCACTTCTCCTTAAATTGGTTTATAGTCTTAATTCATTTTTTTTAAAAAAAGATTTGCTAGGGGCCATTTGCCATTCCAGACTAAGAAATTGTATTGTGATACAAATTGAACATAATAAATATGTATTCTCGGATAAGGAACCATTATAAATCATTGAGAAAAGTGAAATATCAATGGTATAGAGCTGTTTTGGTTAACTGTTTGGAATGAGTTAATTTGATCCATATGCCAACATACATTGTTCAAAGAGAGCAGATGCAATCAAATAATATTAAATATAAAGAAAAAACCTGTCTGAACTTTGAATTAGGACTGATCTTTTAAATTAAACGCAATAAAAGATGTCATGAAAGTTAGTTCATCATTTTTAAACAACAAAAGGCTCAGACTCCTGTACATCAAAAAGCCACAACAGCAAAAGGCCCTCAAACTCCTGTACATAAAGAGCCACTGAGATTGGAAATGTATGTGAAACAGTAAGAGATGATGTTTTTGATATGGAAGAACTTATACAAATTAGTAAGCAAGTGCCAATGCCCTCCCTAAATGAGGTGAATGAACCATGTGGTGACCTAACAAGGTTCAAAAATGGAAATACAAATGATTGGTTAACAAAATAGCATGCTGTACCTTCCTAATAAACCAAGAGCTGAACACCAAATACACACTTCTAAGATTTTCACCATGGAAAAGTTTTTAAAAAGTAGAGAAGAATGAAATTAAGGCATTTGCCAGTAACTGGGTGGAGCTGGAGAATATTATGCTAAACAAAATAAGCCAATTCCAGAAAACCAAAGGCTGAATGTTTTCTCTGATATGTGGATGCTCGTCCATAATGGTGGTGGTGGGGAGCTAGGGAAGAATACAGTTACTTTAGATTAAAGTAGAGGGGAGTGAAGGGAAGGGAGAGAGATGGGTAGGAAGGATAATAGAATGAATTGGACATTATTACCCTAGGTTGTATAGTCATACGACCAGTGTTATTCTATATCATGTATAACCAGAAGAATAAGAAATTATACTCCATTTATGTTTGTGTCAAAATGCATTCTACTCTCATGTATAACTAGTTAGAACAAATTTTTAAAAAGTGAGTTCCAGTTTCAAACCTGCACCTAGATTAGTGTCAGGGGAACTTGCATTATGTGTTTTGGTTGAACTAATAGATTTGTAAAGGAGAGCAATAATGCAGGTAAGGAAACAGCAGGTGGTAGCATTAATGACTTCAGAGTCTTTATCAACAAACTTACTAGAATCTCTTGTGAAAACATACATACAAATAATAGAGTGGACAGACATTCGTCTACCAGAATGTTCTAATATTTCTGTAATAATAGTGAACTATTAGAAATCGAAATCTATAATATTATTGCAGGTAGTATAGGGCTTACATAAACCTTGATGCTTTAACAAATGAGACATGTGGCCTTAGATACGTTATGAAAAGACTCTGTTTAGAGACAGAAGTGCTGATGTTATTAAATGACAAAAGCAGTGTGAAAATATTCTGTATATTATATTTATTTTAAAAATCACAGTAAGAATTATCAAAGGATATAATATTAATGATTGTGGGGTTTTGCAATAACCATCATTTTATATTTCTTAACATTTTTACCATGGAGATTATATCCCTTTTATAGTAAGAAAAAAATTTTAAGTGAAAAGAAATCAAAGTGTTATTTTAGTGAGTTTTAGAAAGATTCTCCTCAGGTTTTGTAGCCTTAAGAAGCTGTCAGGGAAATCCCTCTTACAAAGAAAGTATACAAATATGGGTTAAGGCCCTGCTTGTAATCCTCCTGAGGTCCAGGCTACAACCTCTCCACCTCCTTTCCAGTATAATAAATCCACTACTTCAAATCCTAACGTATCCTGAAATTGAAATTACACTTTCATTTGGCAAGTCATTTTCTGTGCAAGTAACTAGAAGTATATTTCATTTTACTTTCACCCATCATTGGATGCTTTTAGCATTTTCCCCCTTTTTTCATATTTCCTTTAATGGTCTTTTAAATATCTAAAAATATTAAAATATTTCCATGTAAATGTGTTTTGTCTTCTAAGAGGTTTGAGGATACTGTATTATTTTTCTTCATTTTAGATGTTTACCTAGCATAGAGCAAAGATACAAAATGAGAAGTTGTGGTTTTGATAGTATCTCAAAACTTATTCTTATTTTTTTTTTGTACTAGGGACTGAACTTGGGCACTTGACCCACTGAGTCACATCCTCAGCCCTATTTTGTATTTTTTTATTTAGAGACAGGGCCTCACTGAGTTGCTTAGCAACTAATGTTTTCTGAGGCTGGCTTTGAACTCATGATCCTCCTGACTCAACCTCCCAAGCTACTGGGATTACAGGCGTGTGCTTTATTTTTTTGATTTCTTATTTATAAGATGTATTTTGTCCCAGTTTCTTGACCCCAATCTTGAAACAATTTAGTTATAATATACTAGTTAAAATAATGATATCAGTAACATAGACCAAGTGAATTGGGGGCAGGGAGATGGGAAGGAAAGGGAAGGTCCTGGGGAATGAGATGGATCAAATTATGTTGTGTGCATGTACAAATATAGCATATTGAATTCCATTATGTGTAATTATAATGTGCCAATAAAAAATGGAGAAAATAAGTTGTTTCAAATGATCCACCTTTACTCATCCGGCATTACTACTAAATGTTGCCTGTGAATCATTTTCTGTGTGCTAAATTGGTTCCTCCTCTGCCAACTCTGAGTTCGTTTGACACACTAACTTGTAAGCAGAAGAGTATTGTGCTCTTATATGAACAGTTAAAAGTGAAGAGTAGGTATGTCATAAATATCTCTAGCTAAAGAACCTTGAGTCATGAAGCCAAAATTTGTTTTTTCAAAATCCTAAGAACTGAATAACAATTATACAGAGAAAATAGCACAGTTATTTAAGCACTTCATCATTTGCATCTGGGTCCCATTATAGAACTTCATAAGTCACCTTGATACAAACTATTTGAAATAGAAAAGACCAATAGAATAAAATAGTGATGTCAACATTTTTTCTATTTGTATTATTTTTCTCTGTCATATTTCATATCCATTCTTCCTTTGTCTTAAATTGCTCTTCCCATCAAGTAGTTTGCTTTTTTCCATTTTTTAGGACTTTCTGATGATGGAACTATATTGGTCTCAGTTTTTCCCCTACATTAAATGTTTTAATTGTGCTATATTTCACAGTTTATTCATCAATTACACTTTCACTGTTCCCACAAAGCCAAGCAAATATATGGCTATTTGAAGACACTGTTTTGATCACTGGAAAATTAGCTGGTAAGTACAGAAATTCTTACTTAATACTTGAAATGATTATTATGTAAGTGAATTAATATGGAGTATAACTTGGGAAAAACCTAAATTGGTCAGTGATTAGTATTGACTATAATCTGAACTGATTCTCATCTTAGTATAAAACTATATTATGTGTTTATTTATATATATACAAAATTCTGGGAATTGTTTTTTTCTTTTACTATTTTAACACCCAAATGGGAATAGTTGATTTAGAAAATACTGAAAACAGTGTCTGTCTGCACTTTACATCGCTTCTCTCACTGGGGCATTGTGGCTGGTGAAATAACGAAAAGGTTCCAGAGACCATCAGGGCTCTCTGATTGCTGGTCATTCCTTTTTTGTCCCTTGGGTTAACCTTGCTGCTTGGGTGAGAGAGGTCTCAGACTGGGTAGTGGATCTGCTAGGCAGATACAGCTTGCCCTACTTGCATATCCCAAAGGAAAGAATGCAAATGGCCTTATTTGGGTACTGATTCAAGCTGAGTCCTCCTGTTCTTCTTTTCCAACCATGAAGATGATCCTTTGGTCCTTACCTTAACTCCCCAGGCCCTTTAATTGGTACTTAGGAGAAAACTTAATACTATTATTTAGGGGGGGAGCAGGGACATTGAACTTGGGCCTGGTTAATCTTGGAGTGAGGTGGTAGATCACTTACTGAGCTGTCAAGAAATTTGGCAGAATTTTGAACCACTAATTCTGCTGGGGTATGACAGAATGGAGGATGTGGAATTGTGGGTGGAGGAATCAGAAGAAGTAGGAACCACATATCTTCAGAGGTCACGTTTTATGTTGCTAGGGCCCTATTAAAATACGGTTCTCCATAGCCCACTTATGTGTTGGGTTTATTCAGTTTGGTCTTTTTACACTTTATTACCCCTTATGGGCTTCTTCAAGCCCTATTAGAAATTGTTCTTTCTGCTGGAATCCATGCATTGGACCTGTCTGAGCATGTCCTGTCCACTCCTTGGCCTCTGTACCAAGCAGTGAGGAGGACTCATTTGTCTGGACAGTATTGGGTATCCCTTGGCAGGTCCCGTTGGGAGGGGACCTTAAAGGCAAGCAAGAAAGGATGGGTGTTTCTGGTGGTATTAAAACTTCTGTAGACATTGTACATTTTCATTTTTTTTTTTCATAAAATTTATAAACAGAAAGCTCTTCAGTTTGTACAGTGATAAAGTGTTTGGCATGAGAATGTATTTGTGATGAAAGGATGAATCAAACTTTGGGAATCCTTCAGGATGCTCAACTGGATATTTTACATACAGTGCTCATTTTCAAGGGTATATTAACACAATTAAGCCACATATTTTAACAGTAAGTTGTAGATAGTACTTGTAAGTGATATTAGGGTATTGGGTTATTCTGTCAAATAAGGGAACAGTTATATGTGATTGTGCTCTTTTTATTTAACCTTCTATTTTCTGGGAATTATTTTTCTAGCTTTACACATCAAAAATCAACTAGAGAGTGATTTTGAGAATTAGTTTACATTATGTTATTATTTAATATCACACAACCCTTTAAAAATTGCTTTTTTCCCATTCTATTAATAATTCAACTTATTTCTTCTGCTTTTATCAGTGATCTTAATAAAGTCCAAAATAAAAGTTGATGTTTCTAATAATTTCTAATTTTATTAAGGAGTTGGTCCTTTACTTAAATAAATGTATTGGTTACAGAAATATCAGTATTGTTAGTTCTCAGTTGATAAAGGTTAGAAGATAGTCAATTCAAAGTTATTGAAATAAAATAATATTTATAAATTGAGGAACTGGCATTTGGAAGAATTTTAATGAATGCTTGGGTATCTAATAGAGAACCTACCCATCTAAGTATGGGGCCAAATGTCATCAAAGACACCTTCTGTTGCAAAGAGCTGATAATATAGTCCTAAACAAGCTTGCACCCAAGGGAAGCTCTCTTCCCCTAGCAGGATCCACTTTAGATGTGCTTGATCAGTACTTTAGTTGAAATTACCGAAAACTAGTTTTTCTCTGTTTCTAAACTCTCCACTGTATGAATGTTGCCTCAATTTTTAAACAAGCTCTCATTTTTGGTCACAAGACAGCTGTTGCTACTCCCAGATATATTTCTGTTCACAGAAAATCCTGTAGAGGTAAACCAAGTTCCTACTCCCACAATGTTCAAGCAAAACTCACATTATATCTCATTACTCTGCTTGGGAAAAGGCCTGTTTTTGGACAAATCACTTTGGCCAAGAGAATAATAAAATGCTTTTGACTAGTTTCAGCCTTCCTGGCATACACTGTCCATTCATTTTGGAAAATAAAGGAAACCCCAAGTGAACCATATGAACTAAAAAGGGTCAGTATGCGGTTCCTTAGAGTGAAATCCAAAAAAACGATGAAGAAATTCTGGGCAAAAGAATAAAACAGTACAAAGGTGCTTTTGTGTGATCTGAAGAAAGGGACAACTTCTTACTCAGTTCTGAATTTAAAATAATTATGTGAGGACATGATAGTGACATTTAAAAATAATTATAACCACTTCCTTTCAAGTGAAATCCTGACGAATGGTGATATACTTAACATGCATTTGTTTTATCTATTTGTTAATGAGGTTTCCTTTTTCCAGATGCCAAATCTCAACCAAGTGTTCAGTTTTCAAAAGCCTTAATTAAACTTCCTGACAACCATCATATTAGCAACGTTACCGGCTTTCTTACAGTTCTACAACAATTTTTGAAAGTGGACAATTTTCTGTATACCACTGGAATTACTCTCAATAAACCAGGTATTTTTTCTAGTTTTTACATAATGTAATACTACTTATAAGAAATAGTCACACATAAACCAAACATTATGTATTTGGATATTTAGATAGTTAATAGAAATTTGATATTCAACTTTAGAGAATACATGTCACATTTGAAACAAATTGAGTTAAATGTTTATAAGCAACTCCCATTTATTCAATGAAAAAACAATTATACCTAAGTCTTTGGCATGCATTATTTCAAATTAATGAAAATTTTGTTTTAGTTCATTAAATTTCATTTGATCCAAAACATGTAAGCAAAATATAAAAATAACTGATTATTATAAAACATAGCAAATTAAAAAATACACACACAAATAGATTCAAAGATATTTATACATATCTTTTTGTAATTTGACCTCCTATTCAATTTTATTAAACTGATGAGAAGTGTCCATGATTATTAAGATATAAAAAAGATTATTAAGTTTATAGGTTGGAGTAAATATTGTAATTTTTTTCATATATATATACTATTCTCTGTGGGTGAAATACAAATAAATATTGAAAATATATCTTTTCCAAAGTCAACAGCTTTAATATATTAATATTAGTCATGGTTTAAAAGTTAAGGGAATGGTGGAATTTCACACTTAAGAATATATCCACATTTGTTCCATGATTTCTACCACTTATTGAAACACAACTGAAATTCCACTGAGTATAATCACCTCAAACAATTTATAATTCTGGTGGTTTCGGTTATGTCAAATTTTTGTTTCATTTCATTTGAGCAGTTATAAATGAGAGTAAGACAGGCAAATGGGCCTTTGGGGTACATAGGTATTTTTCTAACCTGCCATAGCTGATGTACCAGTGCCTAGCCATATGACCCCCACTCTTCTGCTATCACCTTGTCTCCTATTGCACACATCTGTGACTGCCTGACGGCATTCCCTGGTCCTGCAAGCAGGCTTGGCCTTCACAGGGGGCAAAGGAGACTTGACACATAAATACTGTGGTTTCCTTGCTTTGGCTAGGACAGTTCTAAGCTAGGCTTCTGTCCCTAGTGGGACTGAGCTGGAGTTGCCACAGTGATAATCTGCTTATTGACATGTCCTGTGTTGGCTTCCTTCAGTATGATGTTTCCACTTCCTGAATGGGAGATGCTTCTTGAGATTACCTTCCAAATGAACAGTCTAAACTCGGATTATCTGATGGTCTGCTTTTTGAGGAAGCCAATCCAAGATACCTGACAAGATTTCCCTAGGTGTAAATTAAAGCATGCTCATAATGAAAGCATGTATAGGATGGTGGCAGTGAAGCTCCAGTTGTGTTGGGGGTATTATGAACAAGAGTCACTGGATACAGTGGGAAGGGGTCAAAATGAGTTCTGTGTCTTAACATTCTCTACTACCTGCTTTTGAAATTGTTCATTAAATGTTTGATTATCCTGAGAATGTCACTATCATTTCAAGTTATAGAGCAGTGCTGCCCAGCTGGGAATGTTCTTCTGCTTTGTCCAGCATGGTAGCCAGTAGCCACATATGGCCATTGAGCCTTGAAATATGACTAGTAATTTAACAAGGAAATGGATTTAATTTAAATATCCACATGCAGTTGGTGGCTACTCTGTTGGACTGTGCAGTTCTAGAGCTCTGTAAGTCAAAAGTTTCTTTTGACTTTTTCATTGTCTTTCACACATTTCCTTTTATTTCCTCCTTTGAGTTGACATTGTCTCAAATGGGGCGTCAATCTTTATAGTTTGTGAAGCCACTGACTACGTAGAGCTGAGGGATGGGGTTGAAGCAGGGACTTCAGAAAGCCAGCTGATGTACTTTAATATGTATTTTGAAATAGTTACTCAGCAGATTATATAATACTTGGTTTGTGCTAACATTAGATTACTAACAAGTGAACTAGTCTACAAAATATGTATGGTATCACTATGATTATTTGATATTAGTATTCAGGAAATTTACTACAACAAATTGTTATATTTAACTGAACATTTTCAGTGATTCAGTATTTGCCCTTTCTACTAACTGAAGACCTAGGTCTCGTAGTAGTAGTAATAATGAGAATGAACTACTTTCCATATTCTCCAAGGCCCTGCACTGTGGCTTCTCTCTCCTTTTGCTTTCCAAGCCCTGGGCCACCTCTTTCTTATACCTACCAGGATGACATCTGGTTTGGGGGCTTAGTACTTGTTTATTCTTCCTGGAAGGGTATTCTCTGAGGTCTTTGCTTGGGTAGCTCCTTACCATATGGCTGTAGCTCAAATGTCCCTCCTTGGGATTCTTCCTAGATCACCTAATTCATTGCCTTTCTGAATTGTCATGTGTTTACATTCAGGTGGGAGAGAAGCTGACCATGATTAAAGAAACAAAGATTTTTGATAGTAGCAAGCAATTAAAAATATATAGTAGGTGATACAAAAAGAGATCATGTACTTACCATATCTTTGTGATCCATATTAATGTGTGGTACCTTTGGGGTTTTATAATAAACAGTAACTGAGTGCATAAAACTTAAGCTTTGAAGTCAAAGATTAAAAAGTTTAGACCAAAAGCAAATAAGATGTAAAAAGTATAATTTTTCTATTTCTCATGTGTTAGTAAAGTACTTAGAAAATCTATAATTAGTTATTTATAGAAATTAAAACTTGAATTTTAACATTATGCATCTAACCATATTCTTATTTACTGTAAATATTCTGGTACCTCTTATAATTTGGGCTTTGTTTATATTTCAAAAACAAAAGAAATGCAGTTTCTACGCTTTTTCCTCCAGAGTCAAAGTCTGTAGATAGCTCCTGATATTTCAGAAGTCATTCTACCAATTATATAATCAAATCTTTAAAATATCAAGAAAGCAGCTGGGCAGGGTGGCACATGACTATAATCCTAGTGGCTCAGGAGGCTGAGGCAGGAGGATCACAAGTTCAAAGCCAGCCTCAGCAATTTAGTGAGGCCTTAAGCAATTTAGCGATTTCTCAAAATAAGATAAAAAGGGCTGGGGATATGACTCAGTAATTGAACACCTCTAGGTTCAATCCCTGGTACCAAAACAAAACCCTTTAGGAAAACAGTAAAATCAACCTTCTATTAACCTGCTTTTCTCCTACTTTTGGGGCATTGAATTATTAAGTGATACTAATATTTAAAATCTAAGTTTCTTAATCTCAGTTATGCTAATTCTTTTCATTATAGTATTAGTACATATCAAAGCATATCACCTTCATTAAATAATGGTATTATGGGTGGTTTTGTTTTATGTTGAATTGCCAAACCTAGCCATTAAAAATTGCATTTTGAATAAGAATACTTTTTACTAAGTAGTGCAGTCACGACTGTTTGTTGTGGCCCTCCTTGAAACAGATGGTCTTGGGAGGAGCAGGGCCAGATGCTTCAAACCTGTAACTGGATTAATGGTATGGTACAGTAGAGCCCTTATTTGGGCATGTTTGTTTATTTTTTAGTTCATTTTTAAAAGCATTCAGTTAGATTCAAGATCCCTTAAATCAGACGACTCTGAGAAAATTAAGAAACTGAGACTCCTACTGATTTGTCAGTGTTACATTGCATAAATTATATATAAAGTATTTTGAAATGACATTATAAAAATCCTTAATGTGGATTCAATAACTATTTGACATTAAAATGTATAACTCTGCTCAGGAGGCTGAGGCAGGAGGATTGTGAGTTCAAAGTCAGCCTCAGCAAAAGCAAGGTGCTAAGCAACTCAGTGAGACCCTGTCTCTAAATAAAATACAAAATAGGGCTTGGAATGTGGTTTAGTGGTCAATTGCCCCTGAGTTCAATCCCCAACACCCCCGCCCCCCAAAAGGATGCATAACCCTGAGTGAAATGGAGAAATTAGATAGTTTAGATCCATAATAATTACTATATAACTGCAACCTTTGTTTGTACATGATTCTATTAAACTGTCTTTTCTAGGTTTTGAAAATATTGAACTGACTCCTCTTGCTGCAGTATGTGTGAAAATATATTCTGGAGGAAAAGAATTAAAGGTGGATGGCTCCATTCAAGTTTCTCTTCCCCTTTTACATACAAATGATATAAATGTGGGGGATCGAATACCTGCTTGGACATTTGATATGAACACAGGTACGTTAGCTAGGTGAATATATTTTGAATATTTTTCTGTTGAATGTCTTGTCTTAGAATTTGGTACAGTTCTAGGTTTTCAGTAACATAATCTTATGCACTAAGTTTAGTGACCAAAGTCGGCCTTACTTTGATTAATATAACCACGGGGGAATTGGTGCGAATATATAATGTACAGGAAAAAATACAACATTAATTACTTACAAAAAGATTAAAAATTATCCTCTTAGTTTTTTTTTTCCTGATAGGTAATGTGAGCTTATCTAAAAATTTGATTAAGGCAATTGAGAAATTTATGTTTATACATTGTCTACATGTATCACATTATCATAAATATTTACAAATGTGTCAATTGAAAAATAGACATTGTTTTACATGTTGTAAATAATTTACTATAACAAGTCAATACAACAAAATACAAATATATACCTATACAACAAACCTATAATAGCTTTATTATGCAATTTGTACATTCATAAAACTTCATAAAAGGTAAGGACTTTACTGAATTGTTTTCTCTAGATGGCAAGATTTTACTAGAATAGATGACATTTTTTTAAAGTTAAAAAAATAAGTTCTTAAAGAACTATACCAATAGTACTAGAACAAAACAATATTCAATAACTTGATAAGGTCATAAAACATACACTGTTAGTTTTTAATCAAATTCCCAGGACAGAGGACCAATAATCATTTGTTGATTAAATTGGATCCCACTACTTATAACCTTCAAAGATATCTGAGCATACACAAGTTGAACACTAATTGGAAAGTCATGATTTTTCTAAGTATGTCTGCATTCTTAGTTTATTTATAATGATTTTTTTTCCTTTGGTCATAACATCATTCAAATAATTCTATTTTACATATTATAATAGATTCTAAATATAATTTAATGTTTAATATGCATTACCTGATAATATATTGTCATGGTTTTCATAATTTTTCAAAAAGTACTGTATTCTTCACATTACTATCAACCAATTCCTATCACCCTAAAGATACATAATAGAAGCTAACTAGTGTTTTGCTTACCTTTCTTTTCAGGTGCTTGGGTAAACCATGGCCGGGGAATGGTCAAAGAATATAACAATCACTTAATTTGGACTTATGATGCACCACATTTGGGCTACTGGATAGCAGCTCCACTTCCAGGAACTAGAGGTACTGTGAAAGTGAAAGTAATTTTTAAAAATAATCTAGATATCATGCTGGATTTGATATTCATAGACCACTCAGCCACTTACCAGCTGATACTGGAAAAGCACTTAATCTCCTCATCTTCACCTTTTCTTCTTCTTTTTTCTTTTTTTTTTTTTCATGCACAGAAGAGAAGATTAAGCTCCATAAACTCTAAGGTCCCTTATAGTGTCCCATAAGTCTGCAAACAATGAAGTTTATTCAAATCAAATATTTCTTAGTTTACATTTTTTCATGAATAAATTCTGTCTAGATCAGTTGATGCTTTTCGTTGCAAGCAACAGAAACATTTTGGATAATTTAAAACAAGTTTAAAAGCATATGGGGAATTTATAGGGTCCTAGGGAAGGTTGACAACCAGATGCTAAAAGGCAGAATCTCTGCACTCCACAGGGGCTGGTTAGGGGACTCTCTCTGCTGTCCTTGCCAGGTTGTTGCTGTGTGATGGCCAAATCCACTGCTTTCCAGCATTTTTTTCTCATTTGATTCCTGATTATCCTGGGGGTGAAGAATTTGCTTGGGTAGTAAGCACATCTCTTGTGGGAGATGGGGGAAGAAAGGGCTCTTGGAGAATAGTGTCTCCAGACTGTTTTGAAGAGAATATAGGTGATATACCAAATGAAAATTGACCTGACATTTTTAACAGAAGGTGCGTGGGGGCTGGTGGCTACAAACCAAGAATTTTTCACTAGGGAAGAACTATAATTTTCTAGGATAAATGAGTATCTTATTTTCTTCCATTTAACATGGCATCAGATGATCTAAATAATCTGAGCCTAAGAAGACTCTACATTAATCTCATTCAGTAAATTTCTCAAAAATTTGAATATCTGCTTATTTTATCCATTAAATTTTCATGAATAAAGAAAGATCCTCAAACCTGCTGTCGTCCAGACTGGTTGAATGGTGGGCTTGCTACCGCTCTCTGGGCCTTTGGGTGTTTGCTGGCAGAAATCGAGTTGCTTCAGGGCTTTCCCTACACCAAGCTTTGTTAAGTCAACTTTCTGGTTTTCAACATTTTGTTGCTCTTGTCCGTTATCTCAATTTTCTTTTATCTTTGTAGATTGTGTATTTATAGGATCAAAACAAAGCGAAACTTTTAGTGTTGTTTTAGGGAAGACTTGGGATTGAAAGTTAAATACATATATAATTCCTCCATCTTCAATCGAGTACCACAGATCATTCTTTTGGCTTTTTTTTTTTTTAATTTTTTATTGTTGGCTGTTCAAAACATTACATAGTTCTTGATATATCATATTTCACACTTTCTCCTAGCTGAGAGGCAGCCACTCCCTGGCTGTTTCATGCTAGTCAAAAATAGTTGCAGTACACACTCTGATCCAGGATGTGGATGACATTTTACACATACTTCTTTGTAGTATTCTCTAATCTAACTTTATAGTAATTATTATTTCAGAATTTTTTCTGAAAAGCATTTTTAATCCAGTTTGATTTTTACTTGACATTGGCAACATTTGAATTTTAAAACATGCAAGATAACATGGCTGTTTTTTAAAAAACGAAAGCAATATATTTAGTATTCCAATAGATGAAATGTGAGCCATTAGCCATATGTGATCAAGAAAGATATTCTTTGTTTCTATTTGAACTTAGTGCTTATGAGGTTATTTATTCACAAATCAGAGGGTGGTTACCTTTGTTCTTCATGTTGTAAAATATCATGCAGTCTGGCCAGCTGTCTGGCCTTATCCTATTCTCAGTTTGCAACAATAATGAAATATTGATTAAAAAGAACAATTAATATTTAATGCCTAAACTCAAATCTAGTTATTTCATTTTAAGTAAAAAGTAACCCAGGAATATTTGAGGTTTACAGAAAAGTGTACTTCCACTAAAATATATATCCGAAAGGACTAGTTTCTATGTGATCATTTGAATTACAAAAGCCAGTATAATTTTTAAAAACAGTTTAAGTTCAATTTAAACTGTTCTGGTGCTGGGGACTGAACCCAGAGCATCCTGTGCATTATACTACTAAGCTAAACCTTCAGCCCAAAAGTTCTTTTCTAGCTTATCTATTTATTGTAAAAGATTTTGTGTGTGACAGAGTACTAAAATAGAATTATGAGATTCTCACTTAGACACCTTCTAGTAATGCCTTTGAAAAATCGATTCTGCAAACATAATAGTCAAAGCAACACTCCACTATTAGAAGTATGTATAACTTGATAATATCTCTGATTTTGCTCATAATTAAGTAAGCAAGAAATAGGTATTCATCTGAGTATTCATTTTTTTGTTCTTAAACAGGGGGAGTTGGATATTGTATTTATCTGCTCTGGCTTCTATAACAAAATACAACAGATTGGGCAGCTTAAACAACAGAAATTTGTTTTCTCACACTCTGAAAGCTGGAAATCCCAAGATCAGGGTGCTCTCAGGGTTGATGAGACCTCTCTTTTTGGCTGATGGATGATAGTTTTTTTTATAAAGTCTTCATATCCTTTCCTCTGTGCATACATGGAAACAGACTTCTGTGGTGTCTCTTCTTCCTCTTACAGTGACACCAGTCTTATCTGATTTGGACCCTGTCCTTATGACCTCACTTAATCTGTATTACCTCTTTATAGGCCCTGTCTCCAAATATGGTAACACTGGGAGCTAAGGATCCAATATATGAATGTTAGGGCTAACAGATGTGGTCATCCCTGAAAAGGGAGAAATCAACTTTTGTTGTTGTTTTTTAATGTTACCACAGAACACTTTGGACACAAATTGTGTGTGTGTGGGGGGTTCCTTACACTGCATGACTCTCTAGTTATTAGTGAACATTCTCTGCATGTACTACACTACCATCCTGACAGTACTTACCTGGAATTATCTTCATACACCAAAGGCAATCCCTCAAGATTGCCGCCACTTCAGACGCCAGTTGCAAGTAGCAGATTCCCCAGGTTACCTACACTTCTGTATGACTTGGCTTCAGATTGGGAGTTCCCACAATCGCCTTTTTAGGTTTAATAATTTGCTGTGCTAGCTCACAGAATTCTGGAGAGTTGGAAACTCTGGAGGAAAATTCAGTGGAAAACTCTGGAGGCTGGGTGTGGGACTGGTCTGCAAGTTCCTATCTTTCTTATGGTTTGGGCTTTCACTCTGGTGATCATCCTTCTTCCAGGAGCCCACCAGGAATTATCTCATTAGAACAAAATGACTCCTATAACCTAGGAAATCCCAAGGGTTTTTAGGAGCTCCGAGGCAGGAACCCGCAGAAGAGATTAAATATATATTTTTTAATGTCGCAATCACTAATGTCCCTAAATATTTTAGGATATATTACTGTAAAGCCAAAATTAGTCCCATGATAGGTTAGTGTCTGGTATGCTGGAGTTACTTTGGTTACAATTTGGTTAAATGTATACTGAATTTGTTTTTAACATTTTAATATAGAATTCTAGAATTCCTTGGGGGGGGGAAATGGTTAAGAGATTAAAAGTAATTTTTCAGACTGCTAAAGGAAAATAGGTGAATGAGTGCAGAGTTTAATAAACAACCACTTATTAATGTTTCAAATATGCATTTTCATATATATTTGAATTAATATGTGATTTTTTTAGCATTCTGACCTCTTCTATGTGCCTAACAAGCATAGGAGCAGACATATACTTTCTGCTATTGTCACACATGTAAGATTTGAGCCAGTCCAACAATACCAACCTCTTATTTCCAGAATCAGTTCTGCTAGAATCATGTGAAGTGTTAATTATTAGTGGCACTCCATTGTAAAGGCATATATATATATATATATATATATATATATATATATATATATTCATGTATATTTAGGAACAAAAATTGCTTTTTTGCCTAATTGATATTTTTTTCTGTTGTAGCTCTTGGTCCTACAGATATGAATAAGCCACTTTTGTTTTTTGTTTTTTTTAAGAGAAATTACATTGAACAATTCTGTATTTATTTACTTGTTAGATATGATACACTATTTTTAGTCACCATCTGTGAATCTGTAGCTAATACAAAAGTGCCTGTTATGTAACCTTAACATTTCATTCTGTAATAACCGTGGTGTTGTATGGCTAACACTTGAGTGCTTAACATGCCAAGCACAGATTTAAGTATTTCATAACTATTAACTCATTTAAGCTGTAACAACCCACATTGGTTACGTGTGGCTTTTGTTATTGCTGATTTATAGATGATGGAAATGAGTCACAAAGAAGAGAAACTTGACAAGACCATGGAAAAATAAATGGCAAGGCCAGGATTCTAATTCACACACTCTGGTTCTAAGGTTTATATGCATAACCACAATGCTGTATTCCAAATCTTTTAATATCGCTGTTATTACTTCACTTTTTTCAAATTGGATGATGCAAAATGTAAAGGATAGATTTAAAGACCTTGTGGTCCCTCACTTTCTTCCAGTGTCCTTGGTGCACTTAGGGTCCTTATTCTGGATGTTTTCTCATGGTAGAGATTATCAGAAAATCAGCTGTACCATCACCCTGAATACGTATTGCAATCTAGTTGATACTGACCTAGTCTTATTGTACACTTTTCAGAGGAAAATGAAGTCTTCATAAATTATTTCTCAGTAGAATTCACATTTATGCAGATTTTATTAACCTACACTGATCATCCTATTGTCGTGGCCAGCTTTTGCTGCAATAAAACTTATTACACAGCATTTGCAGGTGTGTGCTCCCTCAGAACAAGAGGATAGTGGGTCTACTGTGCCCCAGCTGGGTTCAACTTACCTGGGATCACAATGTCTTCTTATTGCAGAGCCCAGACAGAAGGAGTTGCAGCTTTTAGTTCAAGTCCCAGGATTTTCTGACTTTTCTGTTCTTTATACTCCTGCTTGCTTTAGCATTTTTTGAATATGTCTTTAAAATTTCTTTTTTTTTTTTAAATTAAATGCAACTAATAATCAACACAACCTTCTGTCTCAAAACCTGATTGAACAAAGCCCACATTAGTTAGAAATATTTTTTTCCTGGTTTATTTTACCAAATATTTTGTTACTGTGTTATATCTTAAATCACCATTTTTACTGCCTTCTGAAACAATTTTGTCCCTGCTTTTTGCCTGTTCTGGAAGCCATTCTTACATATTTTAGGTTTTTGTTATAGTAGCATCTCAGCATCCAGATTCCATTTTGTTTGTAACAGCCAACCTGCACTCTCAGTGGCTAACAGTAGCAAACATTTATTTGCTTTCCATATTGTATGAGTGTGTTTGTTTGTTTGTTTTGGGGGGAGTACAAGGGATTGAGCTCGGGGGCATTTGACTACTGAGCCACGTCCTCAGTCCCATTTTTGTATTTTATTTAGAGACAGGGTCTCACTGAGTTGCTTAGTGCTTTGCTTTTGCTGAGGATGGCTTTGAACTTGTGATCCTCCTGGCTCAGCCTCCTGAGCTGCTGGGATTATAGGTGTGCATCCCTGCACCAGGCTTGTAGAAGTGTTTTAGGCTGACTGCTATACTGTTCCATTTGTCTTGGTTCAGTTTAACCTATTTTCTCATTCCAGAACTCAGCTTGAAGGATTAGTTACATACACTCTGGGATATGCTATTCATATATTAGAGTGCCTTAGCAAGAGGGTAGAGCTATACCATCAATTTAAAGTGTTCATAGTTCATTGGTCAAAGCAAACCAGTTGATTAATCTCAAAAGGTAGGGAAAGCATACTTCATGCTAATTCACGGGGAATTCTGACATCAGAGGGAAGCAAACAAAAGTGTGCATACATATTCAATCTGCCTTATCTAGGATGTGACATACTTGAAAATTTGACCTAAAATAATGTTTTCTCTTTGTTTTTTGGTTTATGTTGAACCATCTAGGTTCAGGTCTGAATGAGGATTCCAAGGACATAACTGCCTATCACACAGTGTTTCTTACAGCCATATTAGGAGGAACAATAGTTATTGTCATTGGATTTTTTGCTGTACTACTTTGTTATTGCAGGTAAGAACAACATTAATCAATATGCATAAACCCAGAAAACTATCAAATTATAGTATCACTTCAGCATATTCTGTGCAGTACAAAGTTTGTAGAAATAGGTTAGTCTTTAAAATTTGTATATTGGAAATAAAAATATATTCTAACAATAGCACTACATATGTGATGTGTTTAAAAAGTTAACCTTCTTGATCATAACTTTTGCCTACTCCTCCTCTTTAGGGATAAGTGTGTTACTCCACAGAAAAGAGAAAGAAATATCACTAAACTGGAGGTCCTCAAAAGAGATCAGACAACTTCAACAACACACATAAATCATATAAGTTCAGTTAAAGTTGCTTTAAAAGCTGAGGACAAGTCACAGTTATACAATGCCAAAAACTCCTCCTACAGCCCTCAGAAAAAAGAACCATCAAAGGCAGAAGCAGATGAAAGAGTTTCCATGGTAAAAACCCGGGACAACTTCAAAATCTACAATGAAGATGTTTCATTTCTATCAGTCAATCAAAATAATTACTCAAGAAACCCAACACAGTCTTTGGAGCCCAATGTTGGGACCAAACAATCAAAACATATCAGCAACAATCTATCTTCATCGTTAGGTGATGCTCAAGAGGAAAAGAGGTATCTTACAGGTGATGAGGAGGGGTATGGGCGTTCCCACATTCCTGAGCAGCTTATGCATATCTATAGCCAGCCCATAGCCATCCTTCAAACATCTGATCTTTTCCCTACTTCAGAGCAGTTACATGCTGCTAAGTCAGCCACTTTGCCAAGAAAGGGCCAGTTAGTCTATGGCCAACTGATGGAACCAGTAAACAGAGAGAACTTTACGCAGACATTGCCCAAAATGCCAATGCATTCCCATACACAGACCCCAGATGCCAGGGAAGAGGATATTGTCCTTGAAGGTCAACAGAGCTTGCCTTCTCAGACCTCAGATTGGAGCCGCTATTCCAACAGCTTGCTGGAATCTGTCTCTGTTCCTGGAACACTGAATGAAGCTGTTGTAATGACTCCATTTTCATCGGAACTTCAAGGGATTTCAGAACAGACCCTCCTGGAGCTGTCCAAAGGAAAGCCCTCTCCCCATCCCCGAGCATGGTTTGTGTCTCTTGATGGAAAGCCAGTAGCACAAGTAAGGCACTCCTTTATAGACCTGAAAAAGGGCAAGAGAACCCAGAGCAATGATACGAGTCTAGACTCTGGGGTGGACATGAATGAGCATCACTTGAGTAGAAAGCTTGAGAGGGAGAAAACATTCATCAAAAGCATGCATCAGCCCAAGATCCTGTACTTAGAAGATTTAGACCTGAGCAGCAGCGAGAGTGGCACCACTGTCTGCTCCCCAGAAGACCCGGCTTTAAGGCACATCTTAGATGGAGGGAGTGGGGTTATTATGGAGCACCCTGGGGAAGAATCTCCAGGAAGAAAAAGCACTGCTGAAGATTTTGAAGCCAATATATCTCCCACTAAAAGACGGGGCAGACCACCGCTAGCCAAAAGAGATAGCAAGACTAACATCTGGAAGAAGCGAGAGGAGCGCCCCCTAATTCCCATCAATTAGCTCCAAAGGTGGTTGTGTCTCTGCTGTCTTGTGCTGTGCGTTCTTGCTTCTTGTTATAAACTGCAGTATGAACTTCTTAAGAAGTTGAGACTGGGTGACCTCTTCTTGGCCCTGGACATGCCCTGAGCAGAGTAAATAGTAAAATGATAATTCAGTAATCAGAGGGAATGATGTTGAGGAATGCCTTTTCTGGCCTATTTTCTGTAATTTTGAGTGATGAATTTAAAGTATCCAAGCTTTCAAGGTGTAAAATAGTGTCAAGATGTTAGTATCTGAAAATGTTAGCCAATTTGGTACTGACTCTTAAGATAGTAAAACATGTACTTCTAAAGCTGTTCCCCAAATTGTCACCTCTGCCTTGGTGACTGCCCCATGGATCCCTTAGAAATGAAACTGTCTTCTTCAGGCATCACCCCTGTAAAATGTCACTATGATGTCCTTCTCTGCCTGCACTCAAAAGCCACCACATAAACATTTTCACTGATGTTATTGTAGAGACTAGAGAACATTTTCTTTTTTGAGATAAATAGCATGTATATTGTGTCATCCCCAAAGTAAATCCTACACTCATGGAAGATGGGCAAGAAGCTTCTTGGTCCTTGGAGAGGGGAAGTGCCAACGTTTTGGATATAACTTCACATAATAAATCAAAGTTACATAGAAATTTGAGAAATGAAAGCTCTGATAACTGAATTTGAATTTTAAGGTTTCTTATTTTTTTTCCTTAAAAATGAAGTAGACTTAGATATCAATTTTTTTCCAATCTGGAAAAAAAAATCTATTACTTTAGTTTAAGGCTCACTGATAACATGGAGGCTCAAATGAGTTTTATTTCTTTTATTCTAAAAATCCAAACTCAGTCACTTAAGGCTATAAAACTTGATTTTAAAATGATATAATTTTTTTTAAAGTAACAAAATGTGCAGAGAAAAATAATCGTTTTGTGTCAATGAGCAGAAAAAGAAATGCCATTTTCCTGAGGCTAAAAAAAAATATCTTCAGGATATTATTTATATGTGTCAAATGTTGACATTTTAAAAAGATGTTTGAGGAAAACAGTTTCAGTTTCACTTGTAGTTTTTGCAGCTTTCCCCCCTCACCCCCCCCACAGTTTTGGAAGTCTTATATCCCTATCCTTTTCATCATAGCAAAGAATGCAGTGTGAATACAGTTAACATCTATTTTTAATTATGTGTCTTCAGCTCTGAGGTATCATTCATAAGTCCTAAAAAAATAAAGGTCCCATCCCATTTTTAAAAAATTGCATGAAGACCCATCTGGTGTACCTTTTTCTTTTCTTGGTGGAGGAAAAATGAAACTAAATTGCTTTATTTCATATCCTCTACTGTTCAACATAGAAGCAGCATACAGACTCAAGCCACTTAAACAAGTAAAGAGTTGAAAACAGCCACAGGAGCTTTAGTAAAATTGTAGGTAGATATACAATGAGACACAGCAGCTTTTCCCTCCTGAGTAGACTTCATCCAATTATTCTCCTGGAACCAGTTCTGAAACATCTACTCTGTCATATAAGTTCTCCCTTTCTCTGGTATCCCAAAGAACTTAAAGACCTGAACATATGTTTGCTACATAGTACCCTGATCCATAGAAGAGATGAATGTGTTGGGTAATATGTAGGCTTACTTTTTTTTTCTTTTTTTAAATACCGATAAGGCTCACAATTAGAGGAGGCTTTTTATTGGTCATATATAGAACAATACAGTAAAAGTAGCATGAATGAAATAGATTTTTGAAAAGGTTAAGGAGTTAATGCTCTGTGGAAGTGCCTTTGATACAGACTTGCATTATTAGAAGGATATAATAACATATTTCTTAAGTGTACATTTTTTTTGTTACCCAAATTAAAAAGATGTGCAGTTTTTATTTAAAAATATAGATCTAGTGTTTCATGTTGGAACAATGAATTTTGCATGTAAGTCATATTTCTTTTGTGTATTTAATACCTTTAAAAAATTCAGCATATGTTGATAAATTATGTTGGAATAAATTATGTTGGAATGAAGTTAGAAACAATATAGCAAAATACTGTACCTCCTCAATGTATTGCATGTATGTTTTTCCCCACCTTTAAGTAAGAATGTTTCATTTCTCAGCTTGGTATTGAAATAGATTTATTGGTATAGGTATACCATTCAGGTATGCCACTTATTTTATTCATTCTGTGTAAAGGAAATGAAACAATGTATCCCAAGGGCTTTTCTTGAACTACTTGTTTGGTTTCAGAACAAACCCCCCCCCCCCTTTTTGGACACTGCACATACCATTTTCAATTGGGAATTATAGGCAGTTTATCTTTTCTAGTGATCAAAGAATATGACTTATTTGTGAATACTTTACAAATTTCCTGTTTAAAAAAGTGGAAGCCATCTACTTTTTCTTAGCCCAAGTGATGATAAACAATATTCACTACTTTCTTAAATTTTTAAATTAAAAACCAACAGCCTTTTGCAAATATAAACCTAGGTAATTTTGATTATGAATTGTTAACATTTGTGGATCCTTTGTATATACTTTGGATATAAGAGGCAAAACTATCACTCAACTGTTGGATTCCTTTACTAAAGCACAGCTATATGTATTTTTGAATACATATTATGATCTTGAGACTTTATAAAATCAATTTTTATGACTTTATGCAGTTGTATAGGGATTATGCCCTTTTATAATACACAGTCTATCACAAAGATCACAGATGTTGAGGAATAAAAGCACTTCTTTGTTTTGGCAATCACTTTCAGATCGCCTTCTGTGTGTTTGAATTCTCTAGTATCAATACATATTGTAGGGTTTTAGAGAGATGGGGGCCAAATAATGCCCCTCAAAACTTCCCAGAAAGGTGAAGCTCAGAGTTACACATTCATTTATCAGGTATGGATTACTCACCTCTCCATACACCAACATTGTAAAGGAATTTGTATTAATTTCTATTTCAGATCTAGAGTCTGCATTTTGTCCTCATTTCCAACTGCTTTCTTTTGTATTCTTTGATCAGAGAAATCTCATATTTCAATGTACTTATTGCTGTTATTACTATATTTACTGCTGAAAACTGTAACAGTCTGAAGATTTGTAAAATGTTCAACATAGTTCATTAAAAAATAATAAAATAAATTTAAAAGCATACTTGATATGCTGTTTAATTTTTGGTAAAATGCAAGGGCTTCCTATATTGTCATTTAATTTAATAAATATTCATTACTTTTTATTCATTCCACTCTCCATAGTAAAGTAAACCTGTTTATAAAATAAATTAGATCTCTATATATTTCATGTCTCTATAGTTCACATTTTTACTGTTGAAGCTGAGTGTGGATAAATTGTTTCATGCAGTGAGATTAAAAGAGTTCAATAGATGCAAAATAATTTACAACTCCCCAAAACTCTTAATACAAAAATCCTGTATTCACCCATTTCAAATATTATTTGAACTTGATAACTAAAGCTGATAACCCAAAGGCTGCTTATACTTGCAGTGTTACGACTTTGAGAGCCTCTGCTTAGTCAATTGAGCAATATTTAAATTCAGGCAGTTTGGGAGTTTTAGTTTTAAGAATTGTCCTGGCTGCCATGTTTTTAGATAGTTCCTATAACTTTTATAGTTTTTTTTTTTTTAATTTTTGTAGTTGTAGATGGACAGAATGCCTTTATTTTATTTATCTCTATGTGGTGGTAAGGATCGAACCCAGTGCCTCACACATGCTAGGCAAGTACTCTGCCACTGTGCTATAGCCCACCCTAACTTTTATGTTAATATGTTAGTAGAAATACCTTTGGTCACTTCTAATTGGACGTTATGACCCCCACCACTGGCATTGAGCTAGAGATTCCGCTTGGAGCCCTGTAGGTGCCAGCCAGTTTATAGCTGCCCTTGTTCTAGGGCCAGGTTTCCACTTTGGAGAGTCTTAAGTCTTCTCAGGGGTGATGTGCCTCCAGAATGAGTCACCTAGGAACCCAAGCTCACATGGAACTGGTTTGTAACAAAAGATTTTCTGAATCTCAAACACAACTGCCAAACAGGTGACATTAGTGAGCTGGTCATCACATTATCATCCTAGAAGGAAAACTGATGTGGGAAAAACTATGGGAAATATAGATTCTAGAAAAGGAAGTTAGAGGAGATATTTTACTTTATCAAGAGCGATTCACCTATTAGTACTAATGATTGTGACAGATAATTAGGGACCCTTCCTTTGAACCATATATTGGAAAATGTTAAACTATGCCACAACATTGCATTACATAGACCATAAAATCAACATTTTGGCCACTTTTTTATAGCTATATTTATCAGGATACACAGTGAGATAATAGCCTACTTTGAAATCAATTGGAGAGCTAATTTCTTCTGAGGAAACTGCCAATGATCTTGTATTTGTATTTGTCCTTTCCATCAAAATAGAGATTCCTTTTTCTTTTCCTTTATTTTGAGCCCTAGTTTATTTGGGGGCTGTAGACTTCTATCAGGATTTTTACATTTTTATTTGTTTTAATTAGTTACACATAATAGTAGAATGCACTTTGATGCATATTGTCAGAATTTGACCCTAGAAAAATTGTCTAGAAGTTGGTTGCAGTTTATGATGGCTAAATACCAAAAAGTTGATAAAAATCGATTACACATGGAAAAACATCATCAAATATACAATGACAAATTTCATAGGAAAAAAATGAGGTAACTATCTTTTTGAAAGAGCTAAGCTTAAAGATCTCAGGTTTTACTACCTGTGTTGCTTCTCAAAATATTGCAATTCACTTTTATCCACTTCATTAGTTATATACATAATACCTTCCTATTTCTGTTGGGAAGGCTCACATGTTGAGAAGTACATGCTGACAAACTTTTCTTAGTTGATCCCCATATTTCCTGATTTTCAAGTGTATAGTAGATATATTTATGAGTAACATTCCAAGGTTTTGTAAGGACTCTCCCATTTCCCACATGATTTGGTCTTTTTTCCCTTTTCAGGTTGATTAGGGTTTTCATAATTCATATGTTGACTGGTTCTAATCCTTGTAGACCTTATTAAAACACTAGACGAACTGCAGACAGTCTGATTCAAAACAAACCAGATAATTACATTCCCAGGAGTCTCTGGGCTTATTATTCTTGAACAGCTTCATTAAAATCCTTTCCTAAATAACATACTAAAGAGCACAATTGTGGTGTAAAGCAACATGGAATAAATATCCCAGAAAAACTTTTATGTATTCCTATTTCAGATCAGAAAATACTTTTGTTTTACATAGAAAGTACTTTGCTGAGGTTTTCAGCTAAATTCTATCTCTGTTATCCAACATTGTGTAATACATACTATTTTGTGACCCAAATTTCTAATTTAGATAATTTCTGAAAGATTTGTAACCAGTAAATACAAAAAATTTAATTGTTAACATTTTATAGGTAATTTTCTCATTGTTACTCCTTTTGTTCATTTTATATTTCTAATTTTTTAAAATGAGTAGCTTCACATTATTATATGGATTATTTAATAAAACTATGAATACTGACAATTATAGAGGGTGTTAATGTTAATACAAAGTATATTCACACCACTCGTATCTTCATACATGTACTTAGGGTAATGATATCCATCTCATTTCACCATCTTTTTTACCCCCAGGCCTGCTCCCTTACCCTCCCTACCCCTTTGCCCTATCTAGAGTTTGTCTAATCCTTCCATGCTCCCCCTCCCAACCCCACTATGAATCAGCCTCCTTATATCAGAGAAAACATTTGGCTTTGTTTTTTTGGGGGGATTGGCTAACTTCACTTATCCTTATATTCTCCAACTCCATCCGATTACCTGCAAATGCCATGATTTTATTCTCTTTTAATGCTGAGTAATATTCCACTTTGTATATATGCTCCACATTTAGCTATTGTGAATTGTGCTGCTATATACACAATGGAATTTTACTCAGCAATAAGAGAATAAAAATCATGGCATGTGCAGGTAAATGGATGGTGTTGGAGAAGATAATGCTA